ACAGAAGATCTTTCCTGCCCACAGCCATCAGCATCTACAATAAGTTTTTAGTTCAATGAGTTTCAACAACACCTAATTTCCCTCTAAGATCAGTAAAGTATTTTTTGAATTTGAATTGAATTTGAATAAAATGATGGCTCTATGTGCTCATGTTTGTCTTGAGTTTGCCAAACCTGTCTATTAAATGAACTCTGTTCTGTGACTTTTCTCCTCAGGAAGCACATGTCTGTTTTCAGCCTTGTTGAAGAAGTGTAGTGAGAGGAACATATTTGCGCTCTGCCGTTGCATCTCCCAACGAAACCATCCGCCTCGATTTGTTGCCTTGGTGCCTCAGCTGGAGGAGGTTGATGAAGGGATAGGACAGATTACACCACCAGGTAATCCATTACTAACGTCGGAACAAGTTTACTTAGTGTGCTAATAATCACAAACTTATCAAACAGCTTGATTATTTTAGGCTTCTTTTAACTAACATTTTGATGCTTTTCACAGTCTAACATTATTCCAGATGGTGTTTGAGTTCATTTAGAGACCACCCTGTAAACCTGAGTGTGTGTGTGTGTACACAAGTGGACAGAAATGACCCTGAAAATAATGTGACAAAAGGGACACGTTAAAGCAAGGTGTATCCACTACTCACTGTGCTATTTGGTGACATGGTGTGGACAACACTAAACATGGACCAGAGGAAGCCAAGGAAAGTGTTGTCTCAGGAGATTAGAAAGAAAATTATAGAACAAGCATGTTAAAGACAAAGGTTATAAGACCATTTCCAAAAGTGGCAGATCTAGGATTTTTCTGAGTAAGGGGCCATCAAGAGGCCACAATATTCATAGAGGGGCCAAGTTTTTTGTTAAACACCCTTTCACACAAATCTCCAGTTTTGGTAAGGTGTATTCATTTTACCAGTCATACATTTTCAAACACTTGTAATGTAATGTAATTGTTTAAAAAAAGGAACCACTTTACAATAAGGCTCCCATTATAGATGGCTTTTAAAGAGTTTATAGATAGATTATTAATTCCTCTGTAAACACTTCACAACTTATTAATAAGTGTTTATTATGTATTAATTGAGTCAAAAAAGAGACTAAACTGTCCAGTTTCTTTCCAAATACTGAGCCAAATCTGTTTGTATGTTAAACATTTCAGACTAGTTTACTACCTTGTAAGCACAATAATGATTAGGAAATGCATATTTTAACATATAATTGTAAGAAATAATTTGCGTTAGTTAAATGAAATCGTGACGAAACCACATAATATTGGATAGATTAAAATGTGACAAGAATATAGACCATACAACCCAGATCTGGTACGAGCGAGCTTTATTGCTTATGCTAAAGCAATCTGAGCAACGCTAGCTACAACCCRGACTTCCGGTCCTTATATACAGAGTCTTCAGTGCCTGGTGCGCCCCCTGCAGGCCTACGGCTACATCGCAGGCCACTCGAACAAACAATGCCTTCGCTAATGAATTAATAACGGTTTTTCGATGTGTTGATGATGCTTTGTGCATGTACCTAAACT